GCTTTCTCTAAGGCAGTCCTGTTTCCCTGTCACATAAACTACATTTCATAAAGCCCACAGTGATTCTTACACTGTTAAAAATGAAAATCTTTTCCTTGACAACATCTGGCAAAAAAGGGGCCATTAATATTTTACAAGACAGTTATATCCTACAAACTCCACCTTGCTGTTAAAATTTGAAGAGCTTTCTCAAAACTGTATTTCTCTGTTGTTACACTCTTAATTAAATTGATTGATGCAGTTAATGTCCCTATTCTCGGACAGAACTTCAATACAACAGGCTTGCTGCTACTTGGAATATGTATACCCACTTGAAATAAGAACCACGTAAACCATTAGTCTGTTAAATGCATAGGAGTGTTGACACCTTAATCAGTGCAGGCTGTTAATTATTTTTGTGATAACCTCTCCTATGAGGATATAAGCAAAGATACTGAGGCAACAAATGATCCGTGTCATGGCAGGTGAATCTAATTCTAAATGCAAAACAGACTATGAAGAGACTTGGGTCTAGATTTTACCAAAGGACTTTACCAAAGGATTCCTGATGTCAAATAGCTTCTGCATGAAAATGTTCATTTATTCAGCTGCTGGGTTTCAAGAGCCCAAACCAGTCCTCATCACCCAACTGCAGTTACTTCTTGCCAGGAATTCCTACTCAATGAACTAGTTAGCCAAACAGTATAGGTTCTGTTCTTAAACTGGCATGCGTGTTAAAGCTAAACTGAAAAATGCCAGTGCCGCCAACTTGGCTGGGAGCATTCTCTGCATACAGCCTCTGCATAAAAGCCAATTTTCAAAAGCAGCATATTAGTGTGCTTAAGCGTGGGGGGGACTGTGATTATTACATCTAAGTAAAGGTACAGAATAAATTTAGATGGGAGGAATTCACTGGATTTTTTTGTTTAGGGAATAGAAACCAAGTATCTCTAGGAAAGCCAAGAGATTCTTAATGAAGATGAGACTAGTTAAGACCTTGGTTCCACATCTCATCCCAATTACTGCATTCAAATTGAGGTTTTCCCTTTTTTCTCCTCTGCCTTTTAGAACAGAATCCATACTGACATTCATGCAGGAAGAACCTGAGTGTAGCTTGAATAATGCCAACTGCATCCCTATGGAGCCAGGGTATGAGCTATGTGCTTGCATGCTATACTTGAAAAGATATATCTAGAAATTCATTTTGCTCATTTACAAGACATAAAAGCTACTTGTGATGCCAAGTAAACAGAAGACGATTGTCCTTATTTCATTGATATGTATCATATATATCAGTATGCCTGTATTTTTCAAATGCTGTGTAACTTTTTCTCTGCCTAGTAGCAATGTTACTGTGACAAGTGATATCTAAATGCATAGTTGGGGAAAGATAAAAGTTCCATTATGTGACAAGGAATATTATGTCTAACAGAGAGATTATAATAATCATGAGTAAAAAGAAGATGTTTGATCCTGCTTATGCCAAAAGTTTTAAAAAATTTTTTAAAAATACTTTAAATGAATTTTATCCTCAGGAAAATGATTAAAACAAGAAAAGCCTTGAGATGTCAGCTGGTGACATGTTTTTCCTCTTTATCTTTCTTTTTTGTTGTTGTTGCTGTGAAAAAAAAGCTGAGAGAATACAGCAAAGTACATCATTAACTTCTTATTAATTTCATAATACAAAGGCAATTCTGTTAAAATAGTGGTGCTGCAACTTTAAATTACAGAACTAGCTTGGTATTTAATGAGAGATTTAGCACAGCAGGGTTTCTGTTAAATTAAGTTGTGCCTTCACATCACAGTGGGAAAACAGGTGTATATTGGTTTAGAATTATGGAAATGTTGACTAATTCCAAGGCTTGTAATCAAACAGCAAGGCACCCTGCAATATTTTCTTCCAAGATTCTTCATTAATCATTTATGTCTGGTCTTGTTTTCTTCATGTCCACTAAAAGGGTTGCAGTTCAAAGGAGCAGATAAAGCCTTCGTGTTTTCATGTCTCTGTTAAGCATGAGGTCCACACAGAAAGTAGATACAGAAACAGAGCATGGCAGGCTTTGCTCAAATACCCACCCAAACTAAACAGAACAGGATAGATTTCATGCTACAAAAATGCTTTTTTGGCTTTGTAAGTGCTCATCCCAAACTGACTTACTGAGCAACACGGAGCAAGTCTGCATTTCAGAAATGAAGAGACAAACCAGAAACATCCCACTCACAGTCGTTCAGTGCACACAGTTTTGCAGCAGGATGAGTGATACCTACGCACACGTGAAATGCAGGCAAGCTGCTGCACCCCTGCTTCTGTGTGTGCCATAATTCCGTATCTGAAACTAACAAACCACCTGCCTGTTACTGTTTTTCTCCTGGGTTGTTCAGAGATGCTTCTTATCTGATGCATGGCTGTATTTCAGCACAAGTGGAAGGCACAGATTGTTTTGTTTCCAAATACACCTCCTTTCTGAAGCTCCTACACAGCACATCTTGTTTACTGGAAGCAAGCTGATGCCCAAATGAACCTGATCCAAATTCATCCCTTGTAGCCTTGACAGATGATTGCTTCCATTTGCTCTGAAAGAGACTGTTTCACACACAGGCTATCCACTACCAATCCCTGCTAGCTCACGGAAAGCTGCTTAGTGGGCCAGATCTAACAGCATGGAAGTCGCTAAAATTCATAGAAGGAGAATCCTGCTCTACTGAAGTGCTTCAGCACGTATGCCGTAACTTTATAGCTTGCATAAACAAGGTTATTTTGGGAATATACTGCTGAATCATAACAGCATTGCAATTTATGTTGAATGTCAGCCTATAGCACATTCAAAATATAGAATCTGTTATATAATATATGGTTAATTTTCTTTAGTGTAATGAGCTGTTTGAGTCTCTTTATTAGAGATGTGCCTTTAAGAATTAGGCGTAACAACTCTTAAAATAAAATCTTAACATCTCAGGCAGCATCAGGATCAGATCAGCCCATACCCAAGAGTCACAGGGATGTAATTTTCACTTTTTCTTAGAAGAAAAGTTTGTAACTTCACATTCAAGATGGAAAAACAGAGCTTGAAAAAGATACATTTTAAAAGACCAAGAGCTAGATTCAGCATTGGAAAAAATGTTATGGTTTTGATCTCTATTAAAAAAAAAAAAAGAAAAAAAAAAAGGTGCAGCAGCCTCTCTAACTGTGGCATGTTCCTTAGCTATAAAGAGGAGAAAATGCTGCCCTGCCTTAGTAAGAAGCTCTGCAAAGTTGAGCTTGTTTTGCTACTTGTACATGGGGAAGGAAAGGAGGTTACCCCTCTGAGTCAACTGCTGGTTTAACCACGACCTTTCAGAGCAGAGCAGCCAGCTCTGGGGCTCAGGAAGGAGAGGTGCAAGCAAAAGGAGTTTTCTTGCTGCAAAGGAGAGTGATGTACAGATCGACTATGGGGCTCCAGGGCAGGGCTCACACACACAGAGATGCTGCAGCAGCTCAGGACCACTTCCATTGTTGTGCCCATCCCACTCAGCACAGCTGAAAACAACTGAAAGCACATTGGAGAGCAGTTACACAATGAGCTGGGTTAACTGCAACATTAGCTGAATTGGGTTAGAGAGCATTCATCCAAAGGGCTCATCATGTTCTGGCAGTGGGAATGGGAACCAACAACTGGAGCTGCAGAGCCAAGGGATGTTGTGATGTGGCTGGAGCTCCAGAGCTCCCTCAACACTTTCTTTTCTGTCCAGTGATGGCATATCATCCTGTACATCCTCAAAAGCTGAAACTGCCACTACAAGACTTGACATCAACCCTGGAAAAATTTACTGAAATCTGAAGTGGCACAATTTTTCATTGATTTTCCTATAGCTAGCTGGTCATTGCAGATTTCCTCCCACTGCTTCCAGCATTTCCATTTTCAAATGAGGGAAGAATTCCATTCTACCTCTGTGAATTAGCATGGCTCATGGGTAACTATCCAACATTTTCATGTTGGTCACTTTCATGACAGATGAGGTAACTTTTCTAACAGGATCTGCATAAAGTGGGCCAGCCAGACATGAAGTTTTCAAACACATATTGTCTGATTTCACATATGGCATCTAGGAACTCAAAAAGATATTGGCCATCAGTCCATTACCATCCATCATAACTGCCAGTCCAAACAATATTCCATTTATTTATACAGTGCTGTATAATTTGTTCTTGTGTCTGTAACCACACACTCTATTCATATACTGGAACATTTGGATGCGTCAAGGGGGAATATATCCCCACTCTTTATATTTTTCCATTCTGGTCCCCTAAGTATTTGGTTGCAAACAGCAGAACAGATGAAAACCTTAGAACAAGAAGACTTCACATTAAAGTCATGCAATTACCAGTGATATTCTTCTCTTCAAACTTGTAACCCAGATCTGTACTACCATGGGATAACATACGATACAGGTTGTACAATTAGCTCACTAACACAAGCACAACTGCTTTAACCACCAGTGCAGTGTATCAGCAGGAAAAGGGTGCTGAGCAGAGGTGGTGGCAGGAATGGCTCTGTTCAAGCAGCAACATGGTACTGTGCTCTGTGGCTCCCTAATGTGCAGTCACCACACTAATGCACTTGGTTGTTTAGAAACCATGTGTACAATGGCTGCATTTAATGAAGTTGGCTGTATTTCGTCTTTTCCTCTCTCCCTTTTGGAACTAGAACCCTCAGTGGAGCAGTGTTTTTCTGCCATATGTTTCTCCCCCTCCTTCTCCTGTAAAAAAAAAAAAAAAATTGGATCTACCTTGTACTTCAGTAACTGCCTCCAGTCAGCAGGAATCAGCACTGTTTCCAGCCAAGGGACTTTCTACAGAAGAACAACTGTCTTTAGAGATAATGCCATTGCTACAGGACTGGCACTGTTACAGGACAGGACATCAGGTTTGCCACCCTCTCTTGAAGAGACCAAGGTCATGTGGGGCACTTAATAAGCATCTCAAGCAAAAGGGCTATTTTCTGGCAACAAAATAATTAGGATCAAAAAGTAAATGTACTCACCCCAGGTAAAGTTTTAATATTGTGCAGTGCATTCTGTGCCTCAAGAGCAGCTTTTCTTGTATAAAATGTTACGAAACAACAACCTATAGAGAGAAATGAAAAGCTTTCAGAAATTAGTGAGTATGATTTGTGAGAGTACAATAGGGAGGCAGAAAAAACAGTGGTTGAACAACACATTATGAAAGCTGGAAATGTGAATTATCACGAGGCTGCCTGAATGACATGAGTAAAGAAAAGCTTGTATGGTTTAAAATAAAGTCACCCCCTGTGCATTGCATCTATAGCACACCTACATTGTTAGTGAACTGTAATCACTTAGAAATTAAGTTAACTAAAATCCAATTGGCTTTGTACAGTGTAAATGAGGTTATATTTTTCTGTAGGCACCCCATTATGCTTTGAATATGAGCAACAAGGCAAACTCAAACCAGCAGGCATTCGTTGTTACATCCCAAGCAGAAAATCAGGTTAAGGCACGACCTTATTTAGAGGCTTTGCCTTACATGTAAGCCTTACATGTAAGGAGCTAAGAATCATGAAGACCAATTCCGGGCACCACACAGGACCACCACAAATCCAAACCCTGTGTCTGAGAGCACTGGCCATAGAATCACAGAATCATAGAATCACCAAGGTTGGAAAAGACCTAAAAGATCATCCAGTCCAACCGTTCACCTATTCCCAATAGCTCCCACTAAACCATGTCCCTCAACACAACATCCAGCCTTTCCTTGAACACCCCCAGGGTCGGTGACTCCACCACCTCCCTGGGCATCCATTCCAGTGCCTGACCACCCTTTCTGAAAAGTAATACTTCCTCATGTCCAGCCTGAATCTCCCCTGCCGTAGCTTGAAACCATTCCCTCTGGTCCTCTGGCCAACACTCCCTGAACTTAGGCTTCCTGCACCCACACTGCAGGTGGAGTGCTGGGCACAATGACGCAGTTTGTGACTTCGACTGACTTCCACTAAGAGGGAAACCAGTCTGAGATCATCTCTGGTCTGCTTCAGTGAATAACACAAGGAAAATTCCCATTTAGCACCCACTCTGCTGCAACCCTGCCTGTAAGGGAAACAGGTTGGGGCCGAGTGTAGCCCTTCTCCTGTGGATGTGGCCAATCTCTACGCTAGCAAGCGAGTCTCAAATTCCTTTGGAGCTCTGCAGCTGCAGTCAGGTGACCCATCTGGCGCTGAGACAGAGAAACCTGCTGGGAGGCAGGAGTGGCTGTTGAAGTAAAAACCTATTTCATATCAAACAGAATGATGCCGATTTTACTGATGAACCAGCAAACAATCCTACTGTATTAATCACTGACAGGGACGTGCTGCAACTCCAGGGAAATGCCACAACCAAACAGAAAGAGCAGTTCTCTACCCTCATCACTAGCCTTCCTGCTCCCTCAGGTAACACAGGAGCAATACTTTCTCCTTTCCTTGCACCCACTTCCTGGTGCTTACCAACATGAAATACCATGTCACTCCTGTTACGCCAGCTTTTTTTCAGCCTCTAAGTACTGCCGTAACAGCAAAGGAGCACCAAGGAGAATGTGCATGCAGGAGAACATGGCTAGCAGATATCTGGCTGTGTGCAGGAGCCTCACCCCGCACCTCGGAAGGAAAAACTGAATCCAAATTTCCCCCTCTGCTGCCTCTTGCTTGGTTCAAGCTGTGTATTGCACTGTGAATGCTCCCTTTGGCTTTGCAGCTGGGCCAACGACGACCATTACCTCCATAACAAGCAAAGGCAATAATGTATTCCCAGCTGGAATGCGGTGAGTTTATCCCTAACAGAAAAGCACTCGCAAGCAGTATAATGGGTAGGCAGGTAATGCTGACTTAACACAGCTGGGAGAAACACTTCCCATAATACCAATAGTTTCTTTAAAAGTTCACAGTTCAGGAAAGAGAAGGCTTGATAATTATTCCAGTGATCACTGTTTGGCAGGGATGACTATTACAAACAGACACAGCCTGCAGGGCTTGTGCTTTCTTAGAGTACTTCTTAATCTTCTATTCCACTGGTAAACTTGGCAAATTTCAATCGTTTGACACCAAAATCAAAATGTGAAACAAATCAGAGTTTGTGACATTTAACTGCCCAACTCTGACAAAAGAGCATGATGTATTTCTGACCTGCTAACCAGCTCCAAAGTCTCTGTCTTCTACTACTGTCACTCCATTTGGTTTATTAGTGTTTAATATAAAGCTTTCTAACCAGGAGAGAGGATTTCAAGGAAAATAATATCAAGTAGTGGACATGATCTCGGAATTGCAATGTCCTTACCATGGGTTCTGAAGAGTTTCATTTTGGCTTTGAGCTCTCTGGGTTTATCCTGATAAGAAGTTTGAAATCTTTGGATTTATCGTTCTTGGCACTACGTGAAAGAACTGTGCTTGCAAGATGAATACCTGGTGAAATACCCTTCACCGAATCAGTTTTGGGAAGTAATAGTGCAGTACAGAAAAATGTCTCTGAATGAAGACTGGGAACAAACAGCAGCATAGTGGGAAACATGCAGATGCTTCCAGCAGATCATCAGCCTGTGACAAAGATGGTGCCTCTAAGCTCACAGATTGACATCTGAAAATGCAGATAGATAAAATCGCTACCTGTGCTTGTTTTGCTTGTATCATATTACACAACCACAACAAAACAACAGAGTGTTTGCCATGCTTTGGGGAGAGCATGGACATGAATTGTGGACACTCGATTCCGAAGCTTTCTGACAATAAGGTCGAGGTGAAAAAAGTAAATATGAAAACCTAGAACATGAAAGGTGAACATGCACAAAATCCCGAAGGAAATGCTGCAGCTCAGCCTAAGGAGGTGCTTGCTGCCAAAGTACACACACTGTTGCAGCTCCAACAACACAACTTTGAAGATGCCTTAAGTGTAAAACCTCTTTGGTCAGTATCACGTGCCATAAGAGAAAGTATAAGAGAAAAATTCAACTGTTTCTGCAGAAATACCGGAAGGGAGGACTGCTGTGTGAAAAAACAGGGCTAATGTGTGCTGTCCGACTGGTAGCTAGCCCCTGCTGAAGGACAACTAGGACTCTTCTCCATTTTCCCTAAGAAAATGCGATATTGCCAAAGACAAATCAGTGACACCACTGGAAAATAAAAAGTATATTTCCTAAGAGAAAAGAAAAACACCAAACTCAACCCTCCTCTCTGCAGGCCTCTGCACACATAATTGTGGCTTCATCCCCAGCAAATATGACAGCAGCTTGAACTCTAGCTAAACTTCTCTGCCATCCACATACCTCAAAACCTGACACTGATAACCTCCTCTGCTCCTGCTTAGGACAGCTTATAAGGCGAATTGGTTTGTGCACATGGTTCCGCCTACTCTCAATCAGCTCAGTTTAACTCTGATTTAACTCCATGTGAGCTAGAATCTTCTTGACTGAAGGAACAGGAATTCATGCTGACAGCTAGTGCTGCCAAAGCAGCAAATCTCTGCTTTTGTAATGCTGGTTAGACTTGAGCTGGAACTGCATTAACTCCGTCATACAACATCTTTGCACTGTACCTAGAAAAGATAATGAATGAATCATGCAGATCCCTACAGTTCCTTAAGGACATTGGCAACAACTCCATGGCTATCCTGCCAGATGCTTGAATAGACTGAACAAAAGCTGCCACCCAGTGCTGGGCAGCTTCTGATAGAAGAAATTGGGGTTCCAAAAAACAGTGGCAGACAACAACCCTGCTTCTCAATTCTTCTGCTGATAAAACACAGTGCTATATACACCACAATGCTCAACTTTAACACCTCATCAGAAAAAGGAAAAAGATCTCTTGTCTCAGTATGTTTTCTCTTTTTTTTTTTTTTTTTTTTTCTTCCCCCAAAGAAAATTTAGTGCCAGAAAAAGACCTTGAGGTCCCAACTGTTGGGAGAGAGTTGACACATTCAATTTTCCATGACACATTCAATTCACAGGCCCCCGCTCAGTCTGCCAAAGGCACCAATTAGCACCAGAGGTGGAGATTTTTTTATTTTTATTTTTTAACAGGAACCTGCTTAACAAGACAAAGACAGGAATAAACAGCCTCGCTCATGGTTGAAAACAGTTTTGCTTGAGTCACTGTCAAAGATGGCAGCAACAGATTGCATGGCAATGGTGCAGCCCTAGCTTCACTAACACAACTGTTCAGAAATCAGGCACGGAAAAAAGAAAGCAAGTGGCAAGGACTCTCACAACACCACATCCACATGTGTAATTATTTGTTGATAGAAAAACTGGGTTTCTGGAAGAAATTTGTGCACGTTGTGGAATGGTGACATACTGCAGAGCTTTCACCAGTAAACTTCAATCCCATGCAGCACTACAGGCTTGGGGCAGAGTGGTTGGAAAGTTGCATGGAGAAAAAGGATCTCGGGGTATTGCTCAGCAGCTGGCTGAACATGAGCCAGCAGTGTGCTCAGGTGGCCAAAAAGGCCAGTGGCATTCTGGCTTGTATCAGATATAGTGCAGCCAGCATGAGCAGAGAGGTGATCGTCCCTCTGTACTCAGTGCTGGTGAGGCTACACCTTGAGTACTGTGCTCCGTTTTGGACCCCTCACTACAAGAAAGACACCGAGGCTCTGGAACGTGTCCAGAGAAGGGCAATGAAGCTGTGAAGGGTCTGGAGCACAAATCTTCTGGGGAGTGACTGAGGGAACTGGGATTGTTCAGTCTGGAGGGGGATCAGGGGAGACTTTATTGCTCTCTACAACTCCCAGAAAGGAGGCTGTGGTGAAATGGGGGGGTCAGCCTCTTCTCCCAGGTAACAGCAATAGGATGAGAGGCGTTAGGTTGTACCAGAGTTGACATTCAGGTTGGATACTAGGAAAAACTTCTTCTCAGAAAGAGTGGTGAGGCATTGGCACAGGCTGCCCAGGGCGGTGGTGAAGTCACGGTCCATGGAGGTTTTAAAAAAAAAGGTAGATATGGTAGCTAGGGACATGGTTTAGTGAGCAATACTGGTGACAGTTGAAATGGCTGGACTAAATGAACTTAGAGGTCTTTTCCAGCCTTAATGATGCTGTGGTTTCATGATTCAGAAAATGACATTCTGCTGATGAGTAAGGTGATTT